TGGTTAATTCCCACAAGGAAAAGGAGTTTATTTTCTCCTACTCAAATATGGTTGAAATTTTATTCATCGTCAACATAAAGTCTACATAAAAAATTTATTAAATAATAAAGTCTCGATCTAGTCTAGACAAGACAACCACAATCCTTGAAGAAATCCTACACTATTCAAGAGAGAAGAGTTTTATTTCTTTTATGTTTAAGAGTATTTAATTTACTTTTTAATTAGAATTCTATATAAGATTGTATTTAGGGTTTTTCTAGGATTTGGTTCCCTATTTTTACTCGGATTATTAAGGTCTATGACGATATAAAGACCTCATTGCTTATGTTGTAACACATTAATTCGAATCATCAATAAAATTACAAGTTTTTTTTGTTTGACTTTCAATTATTATGAGTGCTTTTTGAGAGAGTTCTTCAACTATTTTGTTGAGTGGATAATTGATTTTACTCAACGATGCCATCTCGTGATATTTTATCAAATTTTATTAATTTTTGCAATTAACTTAGTTTTTAATCACAGGTTGATTGTGAATTAAAAAATTATTTATTTAGAGATTAAGTTTTTACACTAAATTGTATGTTATGAGATTTTTTATCACATTAGTTGATCCTAGGCTCTGCATCACTAATAGAATAAATCTTTTTTTTATTTTCATCTTCCTTTAAGGGATTATAAAAGAGTATATAAAAGAGTAGATATACTCCTTGACTTATGAAAAAATCACTTATATTGTTAGCTAGCATTGAATTATACTAATAATTATATTTTTAAAGATATAAAGAAAATCTCAAGTTGGTTGCTTGAGTAGAGGATATATGTACGAGAATGTAATTGAACTTTTATAAATTAAGTTTACATTTTTCCCCTTTTTATTAATTTATTCATTGTAGTTACACATTGTTGATGAACTTTCACGTCTTTAGTTAATTTGCTACTTAATTTATTGCTTTAAGGTGCTTAAGTTTTCGATCATTTTATAAACTTATTTTGGTGTTCATGCTCCTTTTTAGATGAATGGTTAACATTTAGTGTAAATTTTAAAAATCTCTTCCTTTTATTGTGCTGTTATAAACCATTTTTAGGGAGTTATTGAGCTTTCAAAATTTTAGTTTTCTTTTTATGAAATTTTTGTATTTTAAATTAAAGAATAAATTTCGAAGCATCATATTTTTTTGCACATATATTTGACTAAGATAATGATGTCTAAGAAATAATATCAAAAAAAGATTTTCGTAGATATCTAGTTTTCTAAATTTTATTAACTTATTTATGTATAAAAATAACTTTATAAGTAGATCTCTGATTAAAATAATTTTAGTGTCTATCTTCTCTTAATAAAATCATTCTATAGACATATCGTTACAATTTGGGTGAATTATACGAAAAAGTTATGCTGACATAAAATTTTAGATTTAGTATGATTGAAATTTGAGATTTAATACTAACTTTTATATTGTAAGCTCATAAAAAAATAGAAAACAAAATATAAATAATGAAAAGTTATGCAAGTTTGTGAATCATGATTTTATAAAATTACATTTTATATTCGGTTCACAACAAACCCAAATTACTCCAATATTATTTATATGAAAATTATTGAATTTATTTAAATTAAATTCGGAATAAAAGTACTTGAATTTATGGAGTTGGGCAATCATGGACAGTCAAAGCAGCACTATATGATCTAAAATAGAATCAAGCCTATAAATTAATTCTTAAAATAAATTAAATTGATAATAATAATAATAATAATTTAATAAACGAAAATGGGGCCGTTTAATTAAAATTAAACAGTAATCAGTGATGCAGTTATTTTCTTCCCAATTGTCTCTCTCTCTCTCTCTCATTTCCTCCTCTTCTTCGTTGAGATAGAGCGAGAAAGAAGAGAGGAAAATATTAACTACGACAATTAGAAAAAGAATAAACACAAATCAAGAACAACGAAACTCCCACCTCTGTCTCCACCGGTAACACTTGATATTATGGTGATCTTCAAGGGATTAGGATTCAATTTCAGCTGATGATGGCAGCCATGTAATTTCTCCAGTCAATTTCGCTGAAGCTCCCTTTTAATTGACTTTCTTTCTTTCTTTCTTTCTTTCTTTCCCGTTTTCCTCCTTTTCTTTCACGCGGTTTTAGGGTTGGGGTTTGCCGCCCAAGATTTCATCGTCGTCTTTAATTCAAGCCAGGTCCTCAACGGAGTTTCGCCTTCGAAGGTATCGTTAAATTTTTCCACCCTGCTTCTTTTTGTAATAGTACTAACGATAACCCAGCCCTTTTTGGCTTTTATGCGCTTTCTTCGTTTGCACGGCTATGTTCCCTCCTCATTATGTTTACAGTTTCAGAAAAGAAAAGTTGTTGTGGATTTGATCGTTGCGATTGTTCTGTGTAATTGTTAGGGTTAGGGCATCAACGGAAATGGAGCCTTCCGGTCCAAATCCCGACGCCTTCAGGGGCTCTTCTAGCAACCCTAACTCTAGAAGATACGGCGTGTTTTCCGCTTCGAGTCTCATCCAAGCTCCGATTTCCACCTTGTTAGAGTATTCGGGTCTTCTGCGGACGAGGTCCGGGACTCATCAAGAAACGGAGAGCTTGATCAGCGGTGGAATTCATAATCATCTTCACAATCAAGGTCGTCTCGATGACTCTGCTCCGACGGCCAGCAACGGGGAGGTTTCCATCAGGATAATTGGCGCAGGGGAGCAGGAGACCGAGAGGGAGAGCCCTGGGTTGGTGGTTGGTCAGGTTAGGGATCCAAGTGGACAGAGTGAGGTATCTGTCCAGCCGATGGCAGGCTTGGTATCTGATGTCCAGGGAGATTCTGTTGGTGATCGTTCCCTGGGTATGGGCGAAGGTGTTTCACAGCCTTCTTCAAACTCAGCAGCTGATGCAGAAGCTGGCGATGGGGCTGGCCCTAATACTAGGGATTCATCTTACCAGAGATATGATATCCAGCAAGCAGCTAGGTGGATTGAGCAAGTGTTACCATTTTCTTTGCTTCTGTTGGTCGTCTTCATCCGCCAGCATTTGCAAGGTTCTTTTTTAGCTTCTTCTTTTTTTAATGTGATGAAAAAAATATCTGAACCATTCTGGGTATGTAGAGTAGGTTCTTAAAGGCAATCCCTGGGAGGAGTAGTTGCATTCCTCTCAATGGATATTAGGTGTTTGAATTGTTTCCATAACTTCATTACTGTCATCTAACTCTAAAACCCCATCATTTCAGAGTTTCATAGGTAAATGTAGCTTTTCTATAAGCCATTTGAATAAATTCAAAGACTGGAAACAATTAAAATAGATGTCCTTTTCAGCACCTGAGTTTCACTTATTTGATTAGTTATATTTTTATCTCAGCCTTAGTATAATTTATGCTACTTCTCATTAATTATTTCAGTTTATATAATGAAGTGATAGGCATTTTTTAGTCAGTTATGCTCTGCCCATTATGTCTTCTCCCCTCTCACCCAAATGCGCTGACATCTGGTTTCTAAGTATCTAATCAAGTTTGCTACTTGTAGAGTTGATTTTCTTACTACTAGGCATGAGAGCTTTCAAGATACTGTCTTCTTTTGACTTAGGAGTTTTGACTTGTGAGGACTTGCAGGTTTCTTTGTCACAATTTGGATTGCTGCTGTCATGTTCAAGTCTAATGATATTCTACGAAAACAAACAGCCTTGAAGGTGCTGTAATATATTAATATATTAATGCCACAGCATAAGAAATTTCTAAGTACTCACATGCAATCGTTGATGGTTCCAGGGAGAGCGGAAGATATCTATTTTGATTGGCATTTCTCTAGCATTCACAATCCATGTTATTGGCATTTACTGGTGGTATCGGAATGATGATCTTTTGTATCCATTAGTCATGCTTCCTCCCAAGTCTATACCACCATTTTGGCATGCGGTTTTTATCATCATGGTGAACGGTGTGTACTTAATGTAGCAAAAGTATTCTTTATAGCTCACTGTGTTAAATTAACTTAACATTTTATATTTATTCACCTGAATGATAACAGAATTTTTTCAACTATACTTATCACTGTCGTCCACTTCATCTTCTTTGATTCTCATCTTTTACTGTAATGGAGAAAGAATTAGAGAATTGTTAACATCTGGGAATTCTATTTGCGACAGAACTTTATTAGCTGTTCAACAATGAGATTGCTGTGATTTGCTGCCTACTTTTCCTCAAAAGATAGTTGTTTCTATTTGTAGTAAAGTCTTCCTGTAAGCATAATTTGAATGATTTGTTTTCCTTTGATATAGCTAGTTTAAACTTAAATGTCAGAAGCTCCAGTTCTGTTTCTTGTTTCTTATGGAGATTGTTTTTCTTAAATACTCAATTCTGTGTTGATCCCTGTGGAAATGTTTTAAACTGGTTATCCAGATACTTTGGTCCGGCAGACTGCAATGGTGCTGAAATGTTTCCTGTTAATGTATTACAAGAACAGTAGAGGCCGGAATTATCGTAAGCAGGTAAATGAAATGAAAATCACCATTTAACTACCTTCCTTTGTATTTTATTTTGTTGGAGTTGGGCGAATCATTCTTATTATCATGAGAAAAAGGGTATGTGGTTAATGGCTAAAGCAATCTGGTTACCCTCCTCTTATATTAATTCTATATTTTCTTGGGCCTTGAGGGAAGCATTCCTATTGCCTCTAAGAAATACAGTACGTCACTAATGCAGTCTGCTTTATTTATATTTTATATGACTTCATCTTCTGACTACAATTGTAATCTTACAGGGCCAAATGCTAACTCTGGTCGAGTATCTCATGCTTTTATACCGTGCCTTATTGCCAACTCCAGTCTGGTATCGTTTCTTCTTAAACAAAGAATACGGAAGCCTCTTTTCGTCACTGATGACAGGCTTGTACTTAACTTTCAAAGTCACTTCTATAGTTGAGAAGGTACAAGTTTTAATAAATATATTTTTCTATAGATTGATTGTGTCTTTCAGTTTTCTTATTCCACTCTTTTTTCTCATCAGGTGCAATCCTTCTTTGCTGCATTGAAAGCCTTATCACGTAAAGAGGTACATTATGGAGCATATGCGACGTCAGAGCAGGTAGGTCTTTATCTCCCTTATAAACTTGTTTTTCAACTTGTCTAAGAGATCAAGAGATCCAAGATTATTGTGATTGATCATGGATGATTTTGACAATTGGGAATTGATGTTTTTGAATTTTTCTAGGAGCCTATATGGAAACTATACTATTAGGATTACTTTAATGAGGATCTTCTCGAGTTTCAGTGAGAAGTAACTAATTGTTTGTGTGCACATGGATGATTTTGACAGATTTGATAGTAAATTCGACTTTGTCCATTTGGAACAACTTTCTAGGCGTATTTCCTTGTTGAACAAAAAGAGTCTTAATCTGGTTTATTTCTTGTGAGCTTTCAGCTAGAGATTTGTTGAATGATTCTTGCTTAAAATTTGGAGTGTTTTTGTGTTGCCCTTTAGCTTGTGTTACTGGGCAAGATTTGCTTCTGTAGGTATAGAAGAAAGAAATGATTGATTCATAAACTCCAAACTTAGCAAGCATTGGGCATCATTTTTCCTACACTTACTCAAATAAAAAAATTCATTGCAAGTGATTCCATTTGTAAATCCTTGTCCTTACCAACTGGATTGGCCAAATCAATTTCATTCTGCCATGCATCTCTATCTTAGCTTTAGCCCACACAGAGCCTATGGTTAAAAAGATAACTCCAAGGATCCGATAGTTAAATGAATTGGTAACTGCAATAATTTCTAGAAGAATGAAAATAAATTAATAAAATATCGCTGCTTCATTCAGATATGGAGTTCTACCAAAAGAAAATGCCTAATTTAAAATACTTCGGCTTTTGCAAAAGTTTTTATGACTGAAATGTAGTGGCTAGAACAGCTACTGATGATAATGGTCTAGATCCGGTTTCTTGAGCTGTGTCAGATTTTACACAATATATGCTGCTATTATAGATATTACATAGAGGCTTTTTGGATAGGCATCCTTGGTCCTCCTGACAGTTACATTTTCAAATATAATATGCAAAAATCATGCAATTTGCATTTTTTTATGACCATTCTTTAAGCAGGCTAAACTTCCAAACCAATAGGCGATATCATTTCACTTGGAAGGGAAAGATTTATGCCCCTATCTACTTGAGGGTTCCAAATGCTTAATTCAGTGGTATATGCAGGTTAATGCAGCTGGAGATCTGTGTGCCATTTGCCAGGAAAAGATGCATGCTCCTATCCTACTTCGTTGCAAGCACATATTTTGTGAAGATTGTGTCTCAGAGTGGTTTGTTATAATTGCCTCCTTATTTCATTTTATTATTTCTTTCAATCTCCCTTTGATTGGACTTTTGGCTTCAATCCCTTTCAAGAACATAAATTCTGCACTCCCAAGCCATAATTGTCAATGGAATGATGTTGTCTGTTATTTGAAGAAAATATATTGGTGACTTCGTGTTTATAATTGTGTGTTTCAGGTTTGAGCGGGAGAGGACGTGTCCGTTATGCAGGGCTTTGGTTAAACCTGCAGATCTGAGGTCGTTTGGGGACGGATCAACTAGCTTGTTTCTCCAGATGTTCTAAAATCATTACTGTATAATCCACGAATCTTTTTCTGCATTGAAGTTCTAAATATACTCAAAGCGGGTTTCTCCTGATGGTCATCTACAGATGTAAAAGTTGACTGTAGTTGACTTTTCTCTTTCTTTTTGCTTTTCATGGATTACCCAAGAACATCAACTAAAGAGGCAACTAGTAGAAGTGAACAGCCTGTCTCTTCATGTACTTTAATTGAGAATGCTAAATGTATCTAGTGAGCCCTTGGAACTAGAGAAAAAGTTGGAAAGGGGCTAACAGTATTTCATTGTGAATTTACCATATATAAAAGATTTTTCCCACCTTTTCCCCTATTGTTTGTTGTCCCTGATGACCATAGGTGTATTACATATTTGTAAATAGTGCCTTGTTTGAAGATGCCTTTGCATTTCATGCATTACCTATCATTACTAGCTTGAAATGTCGCAACAAAAAATAATGAAGGTTTTTCATGAGAACAATTTTTTTTTTTTTTTCCGCATGAAAATGATTGAAATTATTTTTAATTTTTTTATAGGAGAAACACAGAAGATAAGAGTAATAATTTTTATAAACTAAGGTGGTGGCTGACATGGATATGAGTTTAAAAGAGAACTTGACAAAACAGTTGCCTCTAATATTTTAACTGAAACAATCATCGCAATGTATGGACAGACGAATGCATTGAATGCATATTCGAATAATAAATATGTGAAATATTTATTTGTTTAATTCTTATAATATTTTTTTTATCTAATAAAGTTCCAGGCGTAATTTGTCCAAATTATTTTTTTTCTGTTTTTTTTTTTTGTCTTTTTCTTTATGGATAAATACAATAAAAGATAATTTATATTTAACGGACAACAAACTTGGCCAAAAAATTAAATTGATTTGATAAATACGGTAAAATATGCCTTTACATATGCAGCAGCAAGTGCAATTTCTACAGGTATTTTAGTAGCGTTCTTCCCGGGTGTGACGGTTGAAATCTGTAACATGAAGTTTACTGCAATTTTACAAGCGAGAAGAAAAGGAAAAAAATACATATGAAATTTCATCTGGTTTATTAATGAAGCCAAAAAATAAAAAAACCCACTTCCACAATTACATACAGAAAGAATAAACTATCAGCTCGGAAGAAGAAAATAAAATATCTCCCTCCCCCGTGCTGTTCTCTCTTAAAAACATCTAAAAGAGAGAAGAAACAAAAACAAGGAGTACAATCATCGCAAAACATTTCTTTTTTTTGGTTGTTTTTTGAATAATTACCCAAATTTCCCCTAACAAAGAATAAAATGAAAAAAAAAAAAAAAAGTGAGCAAAGACAATCTAAGCAGAAGAGAGTGCAGGTTTATTTGCATTGTTTTCTTCAGGTTGGGGAGTTGGTAAAACATCAGCTCCTGAAACATCATGTTCCTCTAGTGGTGAGTCATAGAGAGGATAAAGTTCTTCGGTTATGAGTAGGCCAGGCAATGGGGTAATCTCAGATGATGATGTGGGGGAGAGAGGTGAGGGTGGAGTTACAGAGAGCGTCCTACTTATTGCAGGATTAACTTCTGTAACTTCTTCAATGCCTTCATCTATGTACACGACATCCTGCATTGTCAGTTGGTGATATTCCACTATCTCCCTTAAGAACCGATTCTCTCTTGCATATATTGAATTTTCATGTGCTAATCGAGCTTTCTCTGCTAGGAGAGTTTCCAGTTGCAGCCGAATCTGTCACCACATTAATGCACATTACTACCACATATCCAATTGGTTACCAAACCCCCTAAGTATCTACTGCCAAATTGCTTACTAACAGTTCCTTAAAAAATTGCATACTAAATTTAACAAGGAACTCATGAATCCGAAAAATCAGCATTGTCATCAATGTAAAAGCTGATCAAACAAATAAATCCCTCATAACTTAAATATATATCCAGAAAAAGCTCATGTACCAGATCATCGTCTGCAGGGTTGCTCCCTTTCTCACGACTCTCCCTAAGCCGCTTATTCTCCTCCTCAAGTTGGGCGCATCGTTCCTTTGCAAATGCCAGATCTGCTTTAACTGTTTTCAGCTCACGGAGTAGAAGTTTTGCCTTTGCAGCCGTTGCCATGGCAACCTGTGACTCAAAACAGAATGCCAATCATGCATTTCACCTGATACATACAAGAAAATTCATTCCTAATTGTTTTCTGTCATTATGCTACCAGGTCAACAATAATAAATCCCGTATTCCATGATTATATTTAAATAAATTTCTTCTGACCACATGCACAGCCGTTCCAGGTTTCCAGACATCTTAAGCTTAATGAGACTAGGTGCAGCCTGCGAAATCTGTCACACAAGCAACCTAGATTGAAACTAAATAATTTATTTCTTCTATTTTCTTAACTCATCCCATTAATAAAATTATAAATGGCTCTATATCTAATATCCTTTCAACGAGATAACTAAATCCAGACAATATTAACCATTTTCAAGTAATGTTTCAATTGTGTCACACAATTACATAGTTGCCACCTTACGTCGCGAGATGCCTTGAGTTGGGTTTCATGGTTGGTCTGATTTTGGTGTGTTGATTGCATTCCGTATTGCTGCCATGAGCTATTCACTCCAGAAACTTGATTTTGGGCATTGGGATCAGCTCCTTTTCGTCTAATTTGAAGTTTCCGAGTTTCTTGAATGATATCTGCAGTCTTATTTTCCACAATTGTCTTACCTTCCTAGTATGCAACAAGGAAGCAAAAGAAAGTTGAGAGTAGACAGAAGGGACAAATATGATTAAAAAGAGGAAGTGAAGAAGGTAAACATAAAGTCTCAGTACTTTTTTTTCTTTTTATACCTCAAAGGCCTTTTCAAAGGTATCACCAATATGATTGAGGGAGGATGTCAGTTTATCCAAGCCTCTTCGTAATGTAGGATTATCCATTTTCCTGACGCCCTCGTTTTGTGGGTTTGGGTGTTGAAACTGCATTCGGATGGAAAATGAAACAAGGGAAAAGAATTAAGTTGAGAATATGGCCTCTTCTAGCACAATACGAGGAAGAAAACACATTTAAGCAAATCACCTGGGTAGCCCCTGAAGACTCAGTTGATGTAGCAAATTGTTGGGACACATTATCATCCTCAAGAATAGCTTTGGCTTTCTGAGCAAGGACACCCCAGAAACCCTTGGATTCGTATTTTGAGGCATCCTCATAGGCAGTGAAGCCCTAAATTTCCAATAAACAGAAGGTAAACACAAGCCATTATGGTTCCCATGAGAATGAAACTTTAGACCAAACAGAATGAGATTATTCAAAGGAAAGAGATAAACATTGATTTTAAATCCTGTTTTTCTCCTTATCTTAGGAGTACGAATTGACGCGCACTGAGACAAGCCAAAATAAAATGATTTCAATACAGAACCGGATGATTTGCAATCCAGGTATCAAACATTATTGGATTCTATCTCCATTTTAATTAATCAGAAGCATAATAATTAATAGTATGTCAAAAAAGGAAGATTTTTCGCAAGGGCAATGTGAAAACAGAAATGGAGTATAAGAGAAAATGGTAAACGTGGGATAAAGAAGAGAAAGTAAGAGCAAAAAACAGAGATCCATCATCCATGGCTGACAAAGAAAAAAATAAAGCAGATAACCTTAGAGCTAGATTGCTCAAAAGCAGAGTCACCGGAAGAATCGCGATGAAGAGCGGATGCACGGATGGCCTGAGCGGCAAGCGAAGAATTAGAAGAACAAAATGAATAAGATTTGAAAGATGGATTGTCAACATTGTTGTCATCGTGATTAATCTCTTCCTTGAAGGTAGTAGCCCTTGTGATTCCCTGTCGTCTCCTGTATGCCATTCTTCTCTCTGAATTTCGATCAAAATACAAGTTTTACGGAGATGACTCATAACCAACTCTTTCTTTCTTCATTCTTCTTGTTTTTTAATTTTAATTTTATTTATTTATTTTTTCTTACCAAACCCACCTGAGTCTGAGTCCGGTACTTTCTTGCGCTTTAAGCCATCTCCATCCACATTTAAAATAACACGGAAAGAAAAGCTATTATAAATCATTTTTCGTAATTTATATTTTATTCAACATCACTTATTACGCTTTTTAATTCTTTCCTCTTTCAAATATAATTATAATTATTATCATTTTTAATACCCCAAAAATATATAGTTCTACTAAACTTTTCAAAATTGTAATATAATATATTATTATATTAAATTAATTTTCAAATTTTAAATTTGATGTAAAAAAGTATAAATTTATGTACCCCTTTAATAACTACTTTTGTGCATGCATAACCTTTTGGGTCGTATTTTTATTATACATATTGACGTAATGTTGTAAGTTTGTTACACATTATTAGCAGTAAAATTGTATTACAAATAAGATAGTTTTAGTTTTTAATAAAAATTCTATTAAACATATTTTTAAAAAAGTATTTTTAATATTATTGCCGGCTTTCGATTTTTTTTTCATAATTTATGGATGAATACATATCTTTCTCTTCCATTACATATTTATAATTTTTTTCATATGTAATTCACTACTTCGTGCAAGTAGTTTTGAGAGTAGGGTAATTTGGACAAATCTTTTTGATCATTTTTTTTTTCTACATTTTTTTTCCTTTTAAAATGGAAAGATCTGCTCGCATATAATCTATATATTTACTTAGTTTATTTACTACATTTTTTTAAGTTCACAATACTATTATTAATATTTGTATTACTTTTACATAAATCTTTTTTTTTTTTACTAATTAAAGTTTTTCCAATTTATATTAATTGGATTATATGTTTGTATTTATTAGATTATTTTGTTTATTTAGTTAAATTCATCCAAAAATTCATTATAATTATAATATTTTAAATTACAAGTGAGCATATTTTCACAATATTTTATATAAATTATATTAACCCAAATAACTAAGGCAACCCAAAGAGAGGTGAATTGCGTTTTCTGAACTTTTTGGGCTTAAGTTTTTCATTTACTATTTTTTTTTTAATTTGGTCTATGTACATTTTTTTATACATTTTTAATTATTATACTTTCAAAAATTGTTCATATTAGTTCATTTTCATTAATTTCTATCGATATTCTTAATATATTTGTAACATATAATTAAATTTGATATGTGGCATCGACGTAAATATCTTTTTGATCTCTGTACTATTAATTTTTTTTAAAAATTTTTAATCCTAATACTTTCAAAAATTTTATATTTATTAGTCCATCTCCATGATATTATTTATCATATGTTACTAATCCAATTCATAGTTGTTGATGTTCATATATTACGTGATATTTGACTGTGAAAAATTATTTAATTTTTAATAGTTTTAATAAAAAATTAAAAAGTAAGAACATATTTTTTTTTGAAAAAATGAGATCATTCAAGCTCCCTCCTTCCTCCCATGTCTCCGTGCCCATCTCTCTCCTTTTCTCTCCTTCTCTCTCATGGCTCATGCTTCCCCAATCCCAATCCTAGTTATGCACGCTAGGTATTCTTCTTTAACATTATAATATATCAACGTTGTATAAATCATAGATGGTATAGATACTAATAGTTGATGAGATAAATTCCTTAGCTTTTGTAAAATTTTCTCAATTACAAAATATAACTTAAGAAAAAACATTTCGTCAATGGGAAATGAAATTATTAGGAAGGGAGAATCAGTAGCCTTAAACTTGTCATGCCTCCTCTTGCTATCAATATGGTTAAGAGCCGCAATTGTAATCTTGTTTAACACTTGATCCTCATTTACTGAGGGTGTTGTTATGCTACTATCAGATTTCAAAACCTAAACACCTCTATAATTCCTGCACCCAAACCTTCATGTCATGGGAGAGATAGAGCCTTAGGAATTATGGGAGAGTTGCAGAAGGATTTTTTTATTTTATATTTTTTAATTTTAATTTGTTATTAAAAATAATTAAAATTTTAAATTATTTCGACACGTTACATGTCATGTGACATTTGATATTAAAAAATATCTAATCAAATGATGTCACATGTCAAATAAGGTGAATTGATCTCATACATGTCACCTATTGAAATATTTAGTTGATCTTTACAAAGATTCACTTAAAGAACAAGAGAATTATAGAAATCTCATTTCAATCAAGATACTGTGAATGACACATTTCTATATGATCTTTTAAAGATCATAAATGGGGAGTTGAAGACTTCTTTGTAAATGGAAATGCCAAAATTAACTAGTTACTTCAAGTATAATCTTATTATTTTATTTTAGTCAATTATTATTAGGATTTGGATTTTTTATATACTCAATAAACCTTTTTTTGGTTTTAAAATTATTTTACAATGCGTTTGTTTTATTTTAATGAATAAAAAATAAATATTTCTCAAACTTCAATTGAACCAAAGGTTAAGAATTGAGATATATCTCTTATTGAAAGTGTAACAATGCATACCATATTATAAGACAAATTATTTTTCTCATCTAATAATAGGTGAAGTTAAAATTAAGAAGATATATAGTGGAATAATAATTATTGATGACTCATGAAAAGCTAATATATTACTATATGTGCCAACAAATATTTTTATAATAAACATTGTTATCTAGAAAAAGTATTAGGTTTGAAAAATATTTATTGAAATAGATATCATGTTGAGACAAGTAATGAAAAAAGTAATATAAATCTTTATATTACAAATATGTATTTGTCAGAAAATATATATTAAAAAAGTTATTTTTCATTTTCCTCAAGGTTATGCTTCACAAATATTTATACAATCCAAATAAATATACTAATAAATTAGAAGTTCACTAATAATAGTTCACCTTTTACTAGTGTCCATTGAACACTGCAGCTTGTATATTAAGGTGTCAAATTCATCTGTCATTTGTGTGTCCCCAATACAAAGCTTCTTAAAGGTTTCCATAAAACTTTCTGATAAAGCTCAAGAGAATAAAGATGAAGAGTTTACAGTTTTTTCTTTCAAATAGTAGATTTTGGAAATAAAAACCTCACTTTAGGGCTCTATGAAGGTTCAAGAGAATGAAGAAGATTTTTCTTTTGAATTTCACATTTTTACTCAAAGTTTGCCCCTCTAAAATCTATTGGAGGCATGTATCTTTATGTAGGGAGGTCAAAAAAGTCGTTACCAATAATTTGAATTCGATTTGACCTCTAAAAAGATGTTGCAGAGTGTTACTCATATTGTGCGAGAAATTCTGAGACGTGTTCTGAAATACTAACAACTTATTCTTAAAATGGCAGTCAACTTTTAGAAGGAGATTCCTCTGAAAACTACTTTTCTAACAACAAACACTATTTTGATTGATAATTCTGAAATATATTAGTGCAGGGAGCTTCATGATAAAAAATACCTTAATCATGAACCCATTATATTTAACATGTAAAAACTAAATTTTCCTAATAAAATCTCTCTACTTGATTCATAATCAATAAGGTAAAAGATATCAAGATAACTAAAAAAATAAAAAGGAATTGAAAAAATGCAACGACTTATCCGATAAGTCGATTCAAGATTTCTTGTCTCAAACAAGATGGTTAAAACAACCTCCCTTAAAGAACATTCACTCAAAATTAACAAATATAATTTAAGAGCAACTAAATAATTTTATAATCTATAGTAAATTACAACTAAAGGTGATGCCTTTTTATAAGCCTTCACTTGATAAATTCTATCTAAAAACAAATACTATAATCTAATTAAAACTCTAACCCAAATCTATACTTTATCTAAATTCCAAAACTATATTAATAATAAAATAATTGTAAGGAAAAAAATTAACAATAAAATAATAGTTAAATATTAATATAACAATTAAGTAGATAAGACACATCATTTTTACCATTTTTTCATGTCTTTAATCTCTTTGTAGACTTCA